CATGTGCCTAGGTGAGAGGCCCAAGTCCCATGGAGTTCCCAGGACCCCCACCACCCGTCCCTGTGTTCTATCGGGAGGCTGGGCCTCTGCGAGTCAGTGTGCAGGTGTGGGCCCAGCAGATGTGACCAGTGACCCCTGCCCTGCAGAGAGCACCAAGGGTACCTGCTGGCTGAAGGTTCAGGATGGCCACTGCGAGGCAAACCTACACGGAGCCACCCTGCGGTCCAAGTGCTGCGCCACTCTGGGAGCTGCCTGGGGGAGCCCCTGCGAACGCTGTGAGATGGGTAACGCCAGGGAGCCCCCCGGGTGGGCTCCTAGGAACATCCCAGGTGTGGCCACTTGGCTCCCTGGGCACCCATTGAGAGAACTGAGGTGAAACAGGTGACCGGGGTTTAGATGGAGAGTGTGACCTTGGCTCCACTCCGGTTCTCCCACCCACAGACCCTGCCTGTGCCCATGGCTTTGTCCGCATGAAGGGGCTCCTCTGTGAAGGTAACCAAATCCCTGGCCCTCTGCAGTCCACCCCTTCAGCCACACATGGGCAGGTGCATGTCATGGGGGCCGAAGTCTTTGAGATCAAGACAGTGAGCCCGCCTCACTTGGTGCCCAGATCTTCCCAGTGACAACCCCCCAGGTTGTCTCTGTCCTCTCCCACTGCCCCAAGGACAGCTTGGGTGTCCTGAGCCTTGGGGTAGCAGCTTCTGGAAACCACGAGCTCTCACCTCTCCTCCTTGATGCCATTGTTCAGATGTGAATGAGTGTGAGGTCTTCCCCGGGGTCTGTCCCAACGGGCGCTGCCACAACACTGCTGGCTCCTTCCGCTGTGAGTGTCCTGATGGCCTGACGCTGGACACCACGGGCCGGCTGTGTGTGGGTGAGTCCATCCGCGGTCCTCTGTTGAGTCTACCTCCAGTGACTGGAGACCCCTTCTAGGAACAGGAGGGATCTAGGGTGTCCTCAGGGACCCTCTACCTGCCCACCTCTTACTGACATGTCTCAAAAGACATTTATTTGGGGGGATTCACCCTCTTCACTTAATTGTCTCTTTAAAGAAGCTCATTGCAAAAGGTAAAATCTCATGAAATGATAGCTGCAGCGTTTGTTTATTCTTTTTTTTTTTTAAGATTTTTTTTTTTAATTGGGGAAGGGTAACAGCCAAGTTGTTATCCTTCAATCTTAGTTGTGGAGGGCACAGCTAGCTCAGCTCCAAGTCCAGTTGCCATGTGGCTGCCCGTCGGCAGCTCATGGCCGCTCAGCTAAAGGGGCCGTGTTCAATCTAAGTTACAGGTGGACATAGCCCACCATCCCATGTGGTAGTCGAACTGGTAACCTTGTTAAGAGCACG